ATGTCCTTTATGCTCTTAGCACAGCATAGGATGTGAAACTGTCCCAACACCAGGTTGATGGCATTGTTGGAAGTGTTGAGAATTATAAAGGATGAGATCTTAATTTACATTTCATTTGAATTTCTATCACCTTGTGTCTTACACAGTCAGTCTTAGGATTTTTTTTTCAGTTGCAGGAAACATGGTAGTGCTTTGAATAAAAATAACACTCAGCGTGGTGACTTGGTGGAGGTCACCACAAATGGATGGACTTAAGCCCAGAAATCTGACTTCGAGTTCTCCCTGGATCTGCAAGAAAAATTTGAGGCCATTTTCGCCCTGCTGATGTGCAATGCATTCTGATGAGTCACTTCAGACTCTTTCTTACTGACCTATTTGTAGCTTCATTTCTGAAGTAAGACAGCCTAAGGCAAGCAAAAACATTCAACAAGAATATTTACCTCAATTATAACTTAAGCATGAAGCTAAAAAAAAATATCACCTAATTATCTATGTCAGGGTCATTGGAAGTTGACGATTTTCTGTCATCTTGAAAAGATTTTTTTTTTTAATCACGAATATACTTATCTGTCCAGATGGAGAATTTGAAGTCAAAGAGAGATAGAGGCAGGTCTGTGCTTAGATGGACTCCAACTATCTTGGTTTATTAATTCTTCTCTAGGCCAGTAGAATAGGCATGCGACTGTGGATTCGCTCTGTTTTAGAGATTAAAGGTAAAAGAGCGTAGCTAATATTTAGAGCACGGAGCTCCAGCTAGAAGCCTTTGTTAATGTATGGTTATGTCAGATGCTGGACAAAATGTAGTGATTGACTAGGACCAAAATAGACAGCCCAGGCTCTCAGAGGCGGTTAGTAGTCAAGCTCAGGCTTATTAGAATGACATCCCACTTATGTAGATGGAAGTGAATTTCAGAACACTGTGTTAAATTATGATTAAAGGCCAAGATTAAAATCAAAGAGATGTGCTGCCTACGTCTCATTTCTTCCACTTACAATCTCTATGACCTTGGATGTGATTAGTAGCCTATTTGCAGGAAATAGCCATGATGGCCTCTTGGCATGGTTTCTACGGCTCCGGTGATCCACATTAAGTAATAAGCACGAGTGCCTGGAAAGAGTGGTGGTTGTTCTTGTTGTTGATATTGATGTAATTCATATTATAATAAAATGGCTAGGCACACATTCTAAATCACTGAAGACTTATTGAAGTCTCTAATCCAGTAGAACTATTACAAAGGGAAAGTGAGAAGGAGGCTATAGATACACATAGAAATCATATTTCCCTGCTACACTGGGGAGCAGGGTATTTTCTCATCAGTGTTCACAGGCTGAGGTACCACCAGAAAGATGGAGAAACTATTCCCAACCATCTCTGCAGTTCTCTGCTGCCGTCCTGTATGAAGCCACAGAGTAAAACTTCCAGATATGCCATTATAAAGCCTATCATGGCCACCTCATATTTTATATAAATATAAATATTGCTGAGATGATAGCTTTTACTTATCTTTGCAAATTAAATCATTTATTTATTGCCATCTAAAAAGATGGGAACAGTAATTCCTCAACTATATAGTACATGAGTACATGTACTTCCATGAGTTCCAGGGAGTTTAGAATTCAATATTTTTAGTTGCAGTAATCATTTATGTGTTACAGTGTGTATTGGGAAAACAGTCATTTTCTGTCAATAGCAATGAATTTAAAAAAATGCATTTAATTAAGTCAGCATACTTAAGAGAATTAAATATTCATTATTATAAGAGGCTCTCCCGAAGTGGTGAATATGGTATGTGTATGACTGAAGATGGGAACTATACCTTCAGAGTCAATTTTTGAGTGAAGTTTAGTGGATTTAAGACATATGATAGGGTTAGGATAACATAAGGACCTACGTTCAGTCCCCAGAGTACAAATTTTAAGAGCAAGACCTGGTGACATACACTTGTAATTCCCAAGCAGGGGTGACCCTAGGGCTTCCCAACTGTTCATCCTACTTGGTATGACACTGTCTCAAGGAAACAGGGTGGACAGCCCCCAGAGAACAGCACTGGATGTCTGTGTGTGACCTTCACATGCATATCATATACAATATACATGTAATATACCTCCACAGACATGTACATCCCACACATAAGTATACCCGTGCATACAACAACATGTGCACAAGCACGGACAAAAAAACAGCTCCAAATTTCTACATGCTTATAATACCAGCACTTGGGAGGCTGAGGCTAGATGATCAGTGTTTCAAGGCTAGCCTCGGCTATATAAAGAGTTTGAGGCTAGCCTGAACTACAAGAGTTACTGTCTCAGGAAACACAACAACAACAAAAAAAATAAAATAAAATTTTCAGAACCACAAGAAAAATAGGAAGGCCTGGGAGAGGAGGAACATGGGAACTATAAGGCAAAGGAGGCAGACATGCTCATGTGTGAACAGTAAGGCCAGGGTGTCTCAGCCAAGAAGCCCCATGCCCAGTCGGAGTTCAGGTGCTTCAGTGGTCTCTCTGGGTTTGGTCACTGGCACTTACGTATAATCGACTTCTCCACCAACTCCCTCTGATTCTTGTGTTGTTGGGATATGGGATGGGGTTATGAACTTCCTTTGGTTAGTAAGGTCCCAGACAATAAAAATTTTGTTACTTTAAGTAAGATCCAAGGTGATTAGGAAGCTTTCATGTTCTCAGTGGTTGAGTCTGATTCCCATTGGTGTTAAGGGGAAGTTCCCATGCGTAGTGTGGACTCTGGGCTGCCAAGTCTCTACCAAGGAAGTTCATATAAACTGAGAAATCAGTTCAATAAAGTACAATAAAAGCAGAGGAAAAAATCATTCTAAACTGTGCCAAGTACTCAATCCCACAGCAAATACTCAAGCCCACACCTTTAGTACAAACTGTAACCACTTAGCCTGGAATATGACATCCTTCTGCATTTTAATTCACTTTCCAGATCTACAAAGAGACTGATTTATCAGAGAAGTTGCTCTCTAACCTTAAAGTGTGCTTCTGTTCACTTTGATCTCTTCATATGTCTGGGATTAGAACTCTGGGAAGGTCAGACACCAGAACACATTTTCCCCCAGCCTTTTTACAATAATTGTGTCATTAACTAGTCTTTGAAAATTCAATTCTCTTACTTACTAAGTCTGGCCCAGTTATTTGGAGAGAGGCTGAATGTAGATATTTTCAGACATGAGGTCAGTAAGTAGGGGAGGAGAAGGGGACACATCCTCTACATGAGATAGGAGGCTTAAAATAAGTCCCTGGCAAGTATCCATCTAAGGGATAATGATTCTGATTATGCACAAGCAGGCTTCCAGACTGTGGGATTCTGACAGGCACCCAGGAGACTTTTTATTATTCTCCTACCATCTGAATTTGCAAGTTTTACTGATTTTATTTTTGATGCTAGTTGTGGTATATTTGAAATTTGTTGGTTATTTAACCCTAAGCAAAAACACTTCTCAAATCAGACTCCCCAGAGAATATCCTACTTACCTTTAAACAAAGATATGCATTTATGTCAATGTTATTAAGATCTACAAGAAGGGTCAGCTACCTTTACAAGCAGGACTGGACTCACTAATTCATTTTTAACTTCATGCCAGACATAACTGTGTGCTGTTTTGCATGACAGGTATATTTTTTTTTCTTTGTAACAGCCCTAGCTCTCATGAACCAGCTCTGAAGACCTTTTTTAAGCTTTGTATTCATTTCATATACCAACCCAACCACAGTTCCCCTCCTTTTCCTTCTCCTACATCCTCCCATCTCCCTTTCAATCCCCCTCCATCCACTCCTCCTTAAGGGTAAAGCCTCCCATGGGGAGTCAACAAAACCTGGCACATTAAATTGAGTCAGAATCAAGTCCCTCCCCTCTGCATCAAGGTTGAGCAAGTCATCCCACCATAGGGAATGGGCTCCCGAAAGCCAGCTCATGCACAGTAGGAACAGATCCTTTTCCCACTTCCAGAGGGCCCTCAAACAGACAAAGCTACACAACTGTTGCCCACATGTAAAAAACCTAATTTGGTCCCATGGTCCCATGCAGGTTTCCCAGCTGTCAATCTAAATTCCTGAGTTCCCACGAGCTCGGGTCATCTGTCTCTGTGGGTTTTCCCATCATTATCTTGACCCCTCACCCCTTGCCCATATGATCCCTCCTGCATCTCTTCAACTGGACTCCTGGATCTCGGCCTGATGCTTGGTTGTGGATCTCTGCATCTGCCTCCATCAGTTACTGGATGAAGGGTCTATGATGACAGTTAGGGTAGTTACTAATATGATGACAGGAGCAGACCAGTTCAGTCACCCTCTTCACTATTGCTAGAAGTTTTAGCTGGCGTCATCCTTGTGGATTTCCCTAGCACCAAGTTTCTCCCTAACCCTATACTGGCTTCCTATATCAAGACATCTCATTCATTGCTCTCCCACTCCATCTCTCCTGCAACTCAACCATCCTATTCCTTCATGTTCTCATCCCCCGTTCCCTTCCTTCTTCCACCCCATCCCCAGTTTACCAAGGAGATCTCATTGATTGCATGGCAGGCATCTTAGCTATACAGGTTTTATATGACAAGTATTTTTGTCACAGGCACAAGGCAGAGCACCTATGAGTGTTTGTCTTGGCTGTGGATGGACAAGATAACCATGGTAATAACAGCTGTATCTTTTATTGATCACCTCTAGGGCTCAGCAAGAAATGCAGGCTCTTAAGCCATGGATGTGATGTGATTAGCATGCTTATCTTACCCAACTATCTCCAAAGTGACCTTGTTTAGCTGTGGTTACTGGTTTCAGTCTATGCTTTGACAGGTATCCTCCTACAAATGAAGGACATTGTCTATGTCCCCTAGCAGTAAAAATTGGGTAGAGTGCTTCTTGAGAACATGGGTCTCCTGGGCCTTGTTCCTAACCTTCTACATCTATACTGTAGGAATAAGACCTGAAAAAAAAAGAAAAAGAACAAAAGAACCTTCACATTAAATGACCACTCTATCTGATCTTTATGCTCACGTCAGTTAGAGAATATAAAAATTTGCATACCATGATCAGTGGTGTTTTAGTATACCCCAAAGCTAAAAATAGTAGTCATGTATTTAAGTGGTTGGAGAAATAAAGAAAATATTTTTGAGTGTAGAAGTGTTATGAAAATGATATTTCAATTTCCATAAATAAAGTTTAGTCTGAAGTCAAGTAGGCCATTTATTTACGTAGCTCTACTTTTAAACAGTAGCAAGAACGTAGAGTTGCTAAAACACAAACTTTGCTTCTTGGCCTACAAGACCTTAAATATGTATTAATCAACTTTTTGGATGTCTGTGAATGCTTTCTTTGGATAATTTTTCCTTGACCAACCCTTCAAAGCTTAGAGTGAGACATCCTATAACCAAGCCATATACTGTTCTTCTTGCATCTCATGCTAACCTTAAATGCTGGAAATTCCCATTAGATGACCAACTGCCATTGGTAGAGACATTTCCTTTCCAGGACATTAGTCTCACTCCAGAGTCAGGAGAGTGAACCTCATAATTTGGATATATGTTGAAAATACGGAGAGGCAATAGGTAATTAACTGTCACAGGATAAAAACTTTGACCAGTCACCAAACAATATATTCATTTTAATTCTATAGGATTTGTGGAACTTCATATAGTGACAAGAAGAAATAGTTGGCTAGGAAGACCCTAAAATGTGCAGGACACTCACTGGGGTTCTTTAACACACACCTCCCACTGTGAACAGGCTCATCCAACTGAACTTCTGCCTTGTTCCTACCCCAGGCTGTTCCTTTACTAATATATTGAGATACTAACTTTTGAGATAGGTTAACACAAAAGTTTAACATAATTTCACCTCAGTGCTGAGTTCTTTCTGTTCTAATTCATTGCACAGACTCAGTTCACAATAAAACCAAAATTACCGTTTGTTTCATGGAGCGATAATAGAAGTGAAGTTATCTGTAGGCCTTCGCTCAGACACAGCATACTTTCAAGGAAAGTTAATTTTCCATTTGTTTCCAATCCTGCATGCTGAAGATGCTCCAACAATCGAGTGAACATTCAATTGATTGTTTCCTTGTGAGACAAAGTGATCATTGTTCATCTCATCGAAACTTCAGTCCTGTTTAGAAATAGCAGCTTCCTTAAGCACATTCATCTGTGTGTGAGTACATGTGTAGTGATTCCAACACATATGTACATGAATAGTATAGGTTTATATATAATCATATAAATATACACACACATTGAAGAAAGAAAATAAAATTTCTTCCCAGCACCATATGTTGTGAACAATATCTCCAGTGTGGGCTGTATAAAATTGGTCTTCTGTATTAATTCAATTGGGCATTGAGAAATATCAACTGTATCCTGTATAGAGAGATGTGTGGCAAATATAGTATTTTCAGTTGGAACCATTTTGGAAGGAAATGTATCTGATGCAATCTACATCTTATATGTAAAATTATTCAAGGTTTTGTCCAGATCTGACTGGGGATCAATCAGAAATCAGTAACCAACAATGACGTTTGGCTGCTAATACACAACAAAAGCTTTTAACATTAGACCCTTATAATAGAATACATTTTGACCTAATTAGATGTCTTCCACTGGAACCAATTATTTCCAGGCGATAATTAAGTCCCTTCCTAATAGGATTAGCACAATTTATGACCCAAGGCACCTAAAGTAGGAAGGAAAAGTTTGTTGGTTAGAAGTGCTAAATACTAATTATGATAGATCCTTCCATAGGACAGTAGTCAGACCATATCAGTATTTACTAGTATTCTACTAGTATATAAAATAGTTTGTGTTTTTTTTTCTAAAAATGTGTAGGCAGTTGTACCTCATGTTCTGCCCATGTTCAGAGTAACTTGATATATTTGGAAATCTAATGGCTTTGGACATAATGATTTTCTCTGACATTCGTGGAGATCTTGACAACAGCAACATAGATTTCACAAACTATGTGACTTCCACAGTAACAGCTGTAGACATAGTGGTTGCTTCTTTTAACCAAATTTCTCATGAAAGAGACTCTGTAGCACTGATATTTAAGTTTATGAAGGTTGCACTCCATGAGAACCTTCCCCAAGTGCATACTTCTGTATCCTTGTCCTATGAGGGAAACAACATTCCTTGATTTGTATTTCTTTATACCCACTCTGTTCTCTCTTTGACCCATTAGCATCTGAGCCAAAGCTAAGCATCACCATCACATCCGTGTTTTGGTGTAATGGACAATTGTGGGTCAGTAAGTTTGTAAGGAAGCATCACCTTCACCACTCATAATCATGAAAATACATTTAAACATTCAACTTATTTCATATAAGATAAGTAAAAGATAACAATAGCTTTGTTGATGAGCATTAAAGGAAAATGGTACTCAAACACCTGGAATGCTATTTCTCTTCGACCAGGTAGACACGTGAATAATGAAGTTAACAAAACATAATCACTATGAAGCAGAAATTGCATTTCTGAGAACTTACCATGGAGAAAGTCACAGATAGATGCTCTAGAAACTCAAAGAGAAAAAGAGTAACACGATCCAGGTAAAGACTAACAGTGTGAGGTATTATTTAACTCATGCATTATGGCTAAATACCAAGTTAATAGAAAATTATGCTATGTAATTTTTAAACAAAAAAAATATATGCAACATAAATATAAACGATTGGAAAAGGCACCTCGAATGTTCTTATGTGGATATTTTTAGCAGTGTTACTCAAAAACTTTTTGTATAAAATTTTAAATGCATAGTCTTAAAGGAAAAGGGTAAAGGTATATGAAGTTGCATTTCCGACGGCTAATTCCAGAAGTGAGTATGGGTAAATTGCTGCCATAGTTCTGAAACATCACACATTTGAATGCTCACATCTGAACTTCGTACCACAGCTGACATCATCTAGACCACAGCTCTGCATCTTCTATTTCTCAACTTTGTATCGTAGACCAATGGAACTTTTATACTCATAGGACTTAACCTGCTTTCTTTTGTGGTTATAAAAAAAGTGGGAAAAAATAATGGATTGTTTTTCCTTAATGAACATTTACCAGTTAGAATTAGACAAACAAACAAACAAACGCACCACAATATGACTCTCGAGCTTCATTAAATGGGAAACACATAATTAATTTCCTTTCCAGCCATTCAAAGACACTTGTGTTGTACTGATTTCGTTTAATTGAACTTATTACCACAAGCAGATAATAAGAAATATATTGAAGATATCCATCTGGCTTGCATCGGAAAACTCACATTTCATTCTTCATGGCTGTCATAGGCCATACTAATTGCCTCATTTCAGTTGGTTTACAATCAGTATGATTTAGCTATTAATGCCATAAAATTCTTACTAGAGAGGAAGTTGATATTAAAAGCATAGATCTCTGACCTACCTCTGCCACCACTTCTGCACACATCCTCGGCATTATTAAAGTTATATATTTTTAAGCACATAAATAAAAGTCCATCTCTTTCTCGCTTGCATCTTTTTAGGTTACATCAGTCATCTTTCTACAGAGCTGTTCCTCTATCCAAGGACAGACATGGTTTATGTTGGGCTTTTCAGTTCATTAAATGTTTACTTCCTTCCTTAGCGGAAATGAATTTTAAATGGCTAATTGTTTAATAAATAAAAACAAGAGCAAAATTAGCCACCCTAACTCCGGCTCCTTCTCTGAACTTCATGTGGTTTCTTGCTTTGTCAGACAGGCAGTTTTTGTGGGCACATGATATCTCCAAAGCAGAGGGCATGTAGAGTATGTATGCTTGTGTTAAATGACCCCACGCCTTTTGTTAGAGAAGTGGCCCCATGGATAGAGAGTTATTAACACCTGCTCCCAACTCTGAAAGAGAAAGTCTGGTCTTTTACAAACCCTGAACCAGAAAGGAAATGTGTCTGAATACTTCACAAGTAACTCCAACTATCCTTTCTTGGCATTTGTTTTCTGCTCCAGCGGCAAGAAGGGTATGATTCTCCCAAAGGAGCAGCCTCACCGAACGATGATTGAATTTCTCTGGCTGTCATAGGCAATCAGATCTTAGAAAAACATCCCAAAGACTCCAGGCCTTGAGGTTAAATACAGAATCTGACCAAGATGAAAGCAAGTTAATTAACATTTCCATCATCTCTGTGTGATTTACTTTAGCAGAGGCCATTTCTAAAAGGTTAAAATGGTTTTCTCTGTTATGCATCCATTTGAGGAGCTGAAAGAAGGTTCTGGGTTCATGGTGTAAGAGAGGAAATGTGGGCAGAACACTGAGCGCAGCCGTGACTTTTCACATGGCCTTCTCGCAGGTCTGTGATCAGTGCGCACAAGTGCAAGGTATATTATTAAGTGAAGATTAGCAATGTCTGCTTTGAAGATTTTCCAAACTGGAGAACATGTCAGCTGTCATATTACTAACATTCCCTCTTTGGAAGTTTGAAGGAGCAGGAAAATCTTGGAGTCTACTTTACCATTTAAGATGCACAGAGACTAATCAACAGCACCTTCTCCTCCATCTAGTTGCTCTTAAACTTTCTCCTATCATTCCTAATACAATGTTTGTCTGTCTCCATTGGCTTTGTATACAGTATAGGAAGAACATTTGATCACTGTGCTGTTTGCCTCTGCTTTCCTTAATGCATAAGACAAAGAATATTTAATTATAATGGCCACTGTTGTTGCTGAAGAGACTCTTTAATGCAGTGCCAATATGTGAGAATAATCAGGTACACAGTACCTAGTCATCTCCTTCACAGTGAGCCACAATCCTGAGCATTAGAACAGTATTAGAGCTTCTATAGAAATATACCACTCCCGACTGTTCCCCATGCTCACATAGACAGAAGATCCATTTGTTGTAGGGCGGAGGCCGCTTGTTAATTCCTGGCAGCTTAGCTCCAAAATAACCGCACAGATACTGTATTAATTAAATCACTGTTTGGCGCATTAGCTCTAGCTTCTTATTGGCTAACTCTTACACCTGAATTTAACCCATTTCTAGTAATCTGTGTATCACCACGTGACTGGGGCATAACGGGTAAAGTTCTGTCCAACTCCAGCGGGGCTACATGGCTTCTCTCTGACTCCACCCTTCTTCCTCCCAGCATTCAGTTTAGTTTTTCCCACCTACCTAAGTTCTTCCCTGCAATAGGTGCCAAACAGTTTATTTATTCATTAATGGCAATCACAGCATACAGAGGGAAATCCCACATGAGATCCAGGAAGTTTTCTTTTTAACTAGGTTCCCAAAGAATGTCCTTGAGCAAAAGCTTTAAGGTTGGGAGCTAATGACAAAAGGGTAGATGATAGGCAGAGAAAGGTGGATTCAAAATTTCCTTATTGCTGTGACAGCATACCAGACAATAGCAACGTAAGGAAGGATAGCTTACAGTTTGATGGTATAATCCATCATAGAGGAAAGCCATGGTAGTCGGAGCTCAAGATGGCAGGGTCACACTGTATCCACAGGAAGCAGAGACAGATGAATGAGTCTGGTCAGCTTGCTTTCTCCTTTTTATTTAGTCTGGGGCTCCGTGCATTGATTTTTTTTTCCCACATGTAAAACGTATCTTCCCTCCCCAGTTAAACCAGTCTAGCCCCTTTCACACATGCCCAGAGCTTTGTCTACAAGGTGATTCTAGAGTTGGTGAAGTTGGCAAAACATATTAACCATTGCAGCATACAAGGGACAGAAATAAGGAGAATGAGCAACTAACAAAGGGAGTAAAAGTGGAAAACTAATCAAAAATTAACAGATCAATAAAATCCATAATGTCAAGAAGAGTAAAAGTAAGGACTCGACATGGCTCAGAAATTGAGAGAATTTGATCTTTAATCATGACTACTGGTGGTTTTTTTTTTTTTTTGGATCCAAGTACCAATACAACAAACTCTCCAACACACCTGTAACCTTAACTCCTAGCTGGAGAGCAGACAGGAAGATTGCTGGGGCTCACTAGCTTCCAGAGAAAAGGATAGCAGAGAAAACATGAGCCTTAGGTTCATGAAGAGATCCTGACACAAAAGAGTAGATAGAGAACACTAGCCATCCTCTTCTGACCTTCATGCATGTGTGCAGGCATGTACACAATAATATACATGTTCAAAAACTCACATACAGAAATAAAT